TTTTATAATTAAAATTAATGACAAATTTTAGGGTCTAATTAATATTTGAGGATACTATTCACCTAAATTATCTTCCACTATTGTTGAGAAATTGATTAATTTTGATTTGTTATTTGTATTATATAATTATATAATAAGTAATAAATAAAAATATATTATATATTATTATATACTATATATGTATATATAAAATTATAAATGCATATCCTATTTAATACATGGGGTAGCATTTTATATATATATAATATAATATTATTTTCTGTTACATGCATATTAAGGGCTTATTTGGTATAGTAGTTCAGAAATAATAGCTAGTAGTTTTATTCAAACCGTTAAGAATATATGTTTAGTAAATTTATTTATTTTAAAACCATTACAAATGAAGTGTTTAGTAAAACTTTTTATTTAATTATTTAGGACTAGTGGATAACGATTAGCATTCAAACAACTGTTGACTCAATGTACTCCAAGAGGGGGGTGAATTGGAGTTCCAAAAATTCTCCCCTTTTTCAACCACAAAACCCAAATTAAAGAGAGTAGAGAAGAAGAGCTTGCACAATGAATTTATAGAGGTTCGGTCCAACGACTTGGAGCCTAGTCCTCTACCTTGGCTTCACTCACCAAGGATTTCCTCCACACTCTTCACTAAAAAAGACAAGGGTGGCTTAAAGGAGCCACTCAATCCTTTTACAACAAGATGAGTATTTCTCTCAAACCTCACCCCTTTACAGTGTAAACCCCACAAATCCTCTCAATAGATCACTTTTGAAGGAATCAACACACCCCCAAGATCACTCACTAATAGCACAAGGAGAGGATTACAAGCAATGATCACTCAAAGATCAAAAACTCAAGTTTAAGCTCAAGTAGGTAGGTAAAGATATGCAATGTGTTGTAATCCAAACTTCTTCAGATCCATATTTATAACCCCTTGCTCGAAAGTAACCGTTTCTAACCGTTGGGGGTCATTAAATGCTCTGCAGGACGCATGGCTCGAGTTGCAGAACTGTCAGGAGAGCCGGCTTAACTTCCTAGAGTCGGCTCTTCACAGCCGGCTTACACTTCCAGAGCTGGCTATCCGGGTTTGCAGGCCATTCTGTTTTCCTCGAGAGCCGACTGCAAGACTTTGAGCCGGCTTTCGAATTCCGATTTTAAATACATTCAAAAGAGTCGACCATTGTGCATTAAATGCACCCTCATAGCCGGCTACAAAGCCAGAGCCGGCTTTGCGTCTTTTCTCCGCGCGCGCCAAGCAACGGTCTTCAAATTTTTGCCTGTAGAGCCGGCTGCAGCTTCCAGAGCCGGCTCTTTGCACTTCCATTTCACCAGAGCCGGCTGCAGCTTTTAAGAGCCGGCTCTCTGCACATTTTGAATCCTTTTGGTTTATTTTTAGTTCAATCCAAGTTTACTTGCAATCTTTTAGTAACTTAACTACACACTTAAATAAACCAATTAGTCACTCAAATGTGTTTTGTAATCATCAAAATCATAGGTACAATAATCTCCCCCTTTTTGATGATGACAAAACACTTTGAGAATTAATTAACGAAAGCACATATATACTTCAATATTAACCAGAATTTTAGCACAAGGTACTCTAAAAAATGACATTAAATTCAGCATATTCTTCTCCCCCTTTTTGTCATTCATCAAAAAGCACATAAACATAAGCAATAAACTCCCCCTTAATTCATGCTATCAACCTTTAAAGCATCAAGAATATGAATATAATCATCAATATAGCACCATAGACAACCAAAGTTATGAATACACTTATCAATTAATAAACTCCCCCTCAATAAGAGCATATTATCATCAAAATCATAAACAACCATTCACAAAGCATGTTAACACAAGTGATGTCATTTCCATTCATAAAACAAGATAAAAAGGTTCAAGATCTATCCATAGTAAAATAAAACATAATATGCATAACCCTAAGATGTCCATCCTAAAGATTAGCCAAACTAAAGAAATATCAAGTCAGTTGGCATTAAGTGGGGGTGGAGGAAAAAAATGGTTAACAAGCCGATTAAGCTGTCCTTCCACGTTAGTCATTCTCCCTCTCATTTCTGTCTGGAAACCATAAAAGTCAGTGTGCAGCTGCTGCATCTCAGATATCATTAACTCCATGGTTTCACGGTTAGTTCTTTGCATGGAGGCTCGAAATGGTCTTGGGCTGTCATCTTCATGTTCTTCTGCCCCTTGTTTTGCCATTTCTTGATCTGTGTCACCTTCTTCTTCATCCCCTTCTTGTTCCCCTTTCTTTATCCAAGTGCCATTTCTAAACAAACAGTCCATTTTCTCAAAAGAAGCTTTGGTAAGTGTAGTCCCACCGGGAACCGTTCCGAACCTAAAGGATGTAAGATCAATATTGTTCCTCTTCGCCAATCTGGTAATTAGAGCACCATGAGGAAGTCCCGTAGTTGGTGAGTAAGGCTTGATTATGCTCCGGAAAATGTATCTTCCTAGGTTCACCCTTTTTCCGTTCAAAAGATAATCAAACCAAGGAAGATCACTGGCAAGAACATAAGATTTAGAACCCTTCCTCTGAGCAATAATGCGAGATATAATCCACTACAATGCTCTATTTTCTGGTGAAAGAGACGCCACTTTAATTTGATTTTCAGTGCAATTGGGGGCAATTGTGGCTCTAACTAAGGCAGGATTCACATCTAGAAACTCATCATCTCCTTCTTCAGGTATATCTAATACAGCACAAATATCCCTTGGAGAAAACTGAAATGACACCCCAGCAACCATAGTTTTGCATCTATTCCCTCTTGGTTTCAGATTAGCATAAAATTGATGAACAACTTTATAATACACAGGCTCTTTAATTTCTATATAATTCTTCCACCCAAGTTCCCTAAAAATTTGCTCAACACGCATATCTCCTTGAGGAAATTGACTGAATTTGACACAATTGCAAGATAAAACAACCATATTCTTGATAATTTCATATTGTGTAGAGGCTTGGGTATCCAAAAAGAGATTGGATTGGGAGATGTTACCTTCTTCTTCTTAAGCTTGACCACCGGTGCTAGAACTACCCACTTGTTTCCTTTTACTTCCAGCCCTTCTTGAAGCCATGAGAGAGAAATCCCAACAGCCACACCAAAAATACAGCAGATCCCACACAAATTGAAGTGAAAAGCTTGAGGTTTGGTGTTGGGTAGGCAAGGATTTGATGGTATTTTAGTGTTTAAGGGATGGGCTTTAGAGATTTGGAGGGATTTTGGTGTTTGAGAGAGTGAATGGCGAGTTTTAGGAGAGGAGAGGTCGCGGGTTTGAAGCAGATCTGGGCTGGTTTATGCAGGGAGAGAGAAACCTGTGACTTTAAAGATTCTGCAGGAGAGCCAGCTATAATTGCAGAGCCGGCTTTGAAGCGGGTACGGGTTTGGGTCGCCTGCGATTGAGCCGGCTGGAGAACCTAAAGCCGGCTGTGGTTTAGAGAGAGAAGACTCTCGGCCTTTTTGGGTTGAGCCGGTTGTGAACCTAGAGCCGGCTGTGCTGTAGAGAGAGAATACTCTCGGGTTTTTGGTTGAGCCGGCTGTGAAAAGGGATGAGCCGGCTCTACTGGCCTTGATTGGGACAAATAGAAAGTTTGGGGCTGTTTTGAAGGGAATGCACCTTAATTTGATATTTCTTCATTTAACTAAGATTAAATTGGACATCCACTACTAAATAATGCAACTTTAGTCATATATCAATGTATGCATCATCAAATATCATGAATATAATCAAGGTACACATATCAATATGCACAATTTCTAATAAGCATATTCATTAATTTCAAGAATCATATCAAGCACTAGGATCTAACATACCAAGCTCATTTCTAATGAAGAAAAACCTATTACGATCAAAAGGCTTTGTAAAAATATCAGCTAATTGATTTTTAGTGTCCACAAACAATAAATCAACATCACCATTAGCAACATGATCCCTAATAAAATGGTGCCTAATTTCTATGTGCTTGGTGCGAGAATGTTGGATTGGATTTTTAGTGAGATTGATAGCACTAGTATTGTCACATTTAATAGGAATATGATCCATAGTAATGCCAAAATCCAAAATTTGTTGTTTCATCCACAACACTTGAGCGCAACAACTTGCGGCGGCTATGTATTCGGCCTCAGTTGTAGATAGAGCAACACTATTTTGCTTTTTGGAAAACCATGATATGAGCATATTACCAAAAATTGACAAGTTCCACTTGTACTTTTTCTATCAATCCTACAACC